ACTTTTCAAAATTACACCTTATTTCATCTTCAGAGAATATTATTCCACCCAACCAGCAATAGCAGCCCCATGTGGAAAGCAGATTTACTAAATGTTGTTTCCCTAACATGTTATGGCCAGCCACTTTCAGAAGCCAGAAGACTGTACTTCCAATTAGTATTCCAAAGAGTGATCTCTTGATCAGTGGCATCAGCACCACTTGAGAGCTTGTTAGAAATCCAAAATCTAAAGTTCCCCTCCAGACATACTGTTATGTGGTTTTCCTATATTATTACAGAATATGAAATTCTATTATAGAGGTAAACAAAACAAATGGGATGGATGAAACACCTAAGAAGTGATAATCATAGATGGTAAATAAACTAATAACTTATAAAACAGAGGTAACACTCAGGCTGGGCTAAGTATTGATAATGAGAATGCAAGCTGGTGAAATGAAGGCAGTCAAGAGACGTGTAATAAACAGGTAAGCTGGTACTAAGACATGACAACAATAAAATAAACAAATTATGATAGAACAAATGAGGTTTACTTATAGACAAAAAGCAATGGAAACACCAAGTCACCATTATACCTGGACTGACAGCTACATTATTTCCATATCAGCCATCTACTGTGGACACTGAGGACGGTCTCACCGCTCATCAGCAGGCGAACTAGCAAAGCTATGGCAGTACCTAAGTGTATTTGTCACATCTCTTCAATAGAACAAGTTTGTATCATCAACCCAGGAAATCATTAGTCTATGGAGTGTTGGCTCAAATATCAACTCTGGTCCTCATAACCACACTCTTAATTTAATGTGGAAGGGTTATGTGAAAGAAAGATGGGACATAGGAACATTGTTTACCCAGGACACGGGTAGTGTGGTCCTTCCAACCTGGTTTGAACCTTAAGTGTGTTAACTTGCTCCGTAGCTTTCCTCTTGCTTCTGGATTTGTGTTTAACCACTTTGGTAAATCATGTGATTCAAGCATTTTAATTTGTTTGCTGAGTCCTTCTATTCCATAACCTCTGAGACAGCTCGCCTGCTAGTGTACTTGGAGGCCCAACCATCGCATCAAGAAAATTTCCCACAGAATACCTACTGAATCAGAATCTGCAAGCTAACAAGATCTCCCAAGTGATTCATATGAATATTAAAGTTTAAGAAGCACTAACAAAACTGTTGTAAAGGGTTTGCCTCCACAAAGACAAAAAGTTGGATCTCAACGGAACTATTCTCTGAAAACCATACTGAACAAAAAATCTGCATATATCCACGAACTCCCTGGCAATGACTTGGAGCCCCAGAAGAAGGAGAGACTACAGGGAGATCCATTTTCAACAAATATCATTTAAGGTTCAAAGAAGCACTGCTGCCCTTGCTGATTATTTGAACTCTAGTCCTGTAATGCTCCAAATGATTTGAGAAAACACTCAAAATATAGGACAATGTACCTCAATATTAACTCTGCTATGTCCTCCTGAACTGGGAGTTAGAACAAACTTTTTCAGATATGCTGTTTCAAGAATACCAATCCACTGTAACACAACAGTATTTGGGGGGGGGGGGGGGAATACCTATCCAAAGGACATAAGAAACAGAGAAAGGCTGTGACTTCCTTAATGAGGTTGCAGCAACCTTAGAAAGATCATCAAATCACAGAGTTGGGAACAGCCTGAGAGCTTCCTTAAGTGTACAGGTGGGCTGTACACTTCCCAACTACCAGCAGCTCCTGACTTCATCAGCTCCTTATTTTATGTATTTGTTATATTTGCATTGTCCCTGACACATATTAGGGGCTCCGTAAATGTTCTGAATTAGTAGAAAAAATGACATGTCATCCTCTCTTGTTTGATTCATCTAAGACAAATTTACTTTAATTCAACCCTTTCATTTTGAAAAATTCCTGAGAACAACGGCATATTCCATCTTGAATTAGCATGGTTCATAATATTCTCCCATTCCATATCTTGAAGTTGAATTTTAATTTGCTATGATTTATCCCATTCTAATATTTCATGACCCTGTGAAACACACCAACCTATCCAATAAGAAATAACTGTGTCTATAAAAGATAGGAAAATCATACTAACTAATGGCCAGCAATATAGTCCAACTATTTTAAAAAGTCAGGGTATATGTACAAATACAAGATATATGCCACACAGGAAAGATCAACTATTATTTTGATGTTTCTCTAAGTCCAGATTTAAGACATCTTATGGAAATGTCTCCATAAAACATCTATAAAAAGAACTGAAATAGTCACTGAGGACAATATTACATATACAAAGATGATAAACAGGATCTGTAACAAAACCAAAGGTGCTGGAAATTGTTAACCTAGTAAAGAATAAAGTGACAGTCAGGAAAAGAATGTAAAAGTTCTAAAAATCATTCATTTAAAGAATATATTCCCTATTGCTTCTTTAAGAGGAAGTATGTTTAAGTTTCAAAGGAAAAGATTTAGGTTAGGAATTATAACTTCCCATTCCATAACTAAAACTTTATAAAAAGAATAAACACAGAAAATGGTTGTGTGTATTCCTTTCCAAATAATCTATCCAATCCCTTTCACTTTACGCATTTAGTACAACCAAATGCCATTAAAGGACTCACAGGACACTAAACATTTTGGCATAGTTTTTTATACTCTGTTTTATGGGTTTTAAATACAATGTGTTTAAGAATTGACTCTATAAAGTCACAGAGGAAATGGGTGACCTTACAGATTTGTGTCTTTTTCAGCTATAAGCATGAGAGAACACACATGATAAGCCTTCAATAAATACTTTAATTGGATCTAATTAGGTATTACCACCCTCTGAGGCAAAAAAAAAAAAAATCTTAATTGGAGCATAACCTAAACACCATGACCACCACCAAGACCAGTAGAAAGCAGCTCTCAAATTTTCCAAGTGAATCCACTTTCGTATTAAACAATGGAAGGATCAAGAAAGAGTAATTGTCTTATTCATTACAAACGGCTAAGAATGAATCTTCTGTTTGCAAACTTAATCCACTCCAACTAGTCCTGTTAACTGCCCAATAAAATGAAATACATTATCTTTGTTTCACAAATCTTATGCTTGATCTAATTTGTTTCACAAATCTTATTCTTGATGAAATGTGTTAAACGTAGGTAATCTGTTTCATTCTCTGCTATATAAAATTGTCTCTTTATTATATGAAAATTCAGAGACAAAATGCTTATTGTTATAAGCAATCATAGCAAAAATTACTTGAACTTCAAAATATCATTCCCAAAAAGCTGGTTTGTTCAAATATAAACAGACATATTTCAATGATAAATCCTTTAAAGTTATTAAACCTAGTACTGCACAGTTATGTTTTCTGCAGCACAGGACCCAAATACAGGGCTGGTGTCCCACTTGGCTGAGTGGGTAGTGTTCTACTTGATAAATTTTCATAAGCTGCTATCCCCAGTATTAAAAAGTTAGTCACCAGGTTTAACAAACTCCTTGAAGAGTTCATTTCACTTATTCCTGTCTTTCTCAGTGTGAAACAATTTAATCTTATTGCTTTCTTCCCAAGGGGTAGAAAGACGATATTCAAAAAGGATGTGAAAGCCGAAGTTTAGGAGCTCACTGGGTAGGTCTGCAGGAAAGGCAACTTTAAAGACGGTCTAGAGTAGGGCAGTCGGGGGTTGGGGAGGGGTAGGAAGGCAGAAGGAGATAGAGAATCACGAAGGAAGGTGGTAACTGCAAAGAAACTTAGTCTTAAACTGGATTGACATCTGCAGCTTATTTTAAACTACAGCTTAACTTAATGTGACCCATCTGACCCAGCACTTCTGCTTTACACTAATAAAATGAAGGTTTGCCTGCTAACATCTGTAAATAATTTCATAGATTATTACTTTATTTCAGAATAGTATTTCATAATAGAAAAGATTTCTCTTTAAATTTGTCTATGTACATTTATATTTTACACGCTTAAATGGAAAGTCCTAAAATGAAAATAACAACAGTGATTTTAGATTTTGAGAAAATATACAGAAATATATAAAATCCCAAGTCTATCATTTATACACACTATGTAAGCTTGAAGCTCATAGAATGTGGTCTAAAACTACACGTTCTGCCACCATAAACTTCCAGATTCCCCAAGGAGAACATGCCAGAATCTCAAGACTGAACTGTGGGCAAGCGCACTTTGAAAAAGCACCCCAGGAGATTCTGATACTCAACCAACCTCCTCCTGCCCCTACTGCCATTATCCACTAATAACATTCTACCACCCACTGCTGATGTACTTTGTGCTATTCTTCTATCCCAAATGTTAACTAAGTGAAGTCATTAGAGCATGTGAATTCAATTGGCATTTATCCAGTTTTTATGAGGTAAAAATAAATCCATGAATGGCAAATCAATGTTATTTCTTTCACAAAATTTCATTTTAAAACTACATAACAAATTTTGAACTCAAAGCTGTCTACGGTCAAAGCTTTTCAACGCATTTTAGTCAGCTAATATATTTCCATGAATTAAATTTTCACCACCAAGTAGCAGTACACAAAAAAAAGTTCCTTAAACTTAAAAAATAACTCAGATTTCTTAAGCAAGTAGAGTATTTCCAGGTTACCATAACTCTCCCATTGTACATTATTCTTCATACCTTACAGTGTGTACATTCAGAAATTATTTATGAATTTCAGGTAAAATTAGTTTAAGTTATTACATTTCAAACTAACACTCCAGGTTTTCGGTACTCACATTACTCATACTCCAGTTCATTGGAATGTATCTCACAATCCCCAAACTTCTTCAACTTTAATATTACTCACTATTGGTGTAAGCCATTACAAAGCACATTTAAGAAATTTAATTGACATCTCTCAAATTCCAAACTTTTAAAATCAACTGACCACAGGTGTATATCAACAATCCTGAATCCCTTACAAAAACTCCTACTAGCTGACAAGTCTATTCTACATACAATTAGGCTCTAGTACTAAAAACAAACAGAAGACAAACTGAGAAAACACACTTACCTTAATAGGGGCACTACTAAACTTAATTTTCCTATTTGCTGGGATTTCTTCTTCTTCTGGCAATCCAACAATTTCTGAGTATTCCGTATCAGGCTGATAGTAATTGTTCTCATCACTATCTTCCTCCTCATCCTGCTCAGTGCCTGTCTCTCCCCAGTCTGAATTATACCTGGATCTCACCCTGTACACATTATAGTCACTGTGCATGTACACATGGGAACTATCAAAATTATTTGAATCTTCAGGTACTTCTTTTCCACAACTGGATGCAGAAGCATCGGGAGAGGCGAAATCACCACCTGCAAGTTCTTTCTTCTGCTGCTTTGCTGCATCACTTCCAACCAAATTAGCTACAGCATCTTCTAATGGTTGACTCTGTGGTGAAGGGATTTCAGACTTTGGCATTGCCTTACTTTCAGAACAAGGTTCTTCAGGACTGTCTTTGTCAATGCTGTCGGGAGTCTGTTGGTTACTTGTAGCGTCCTCAGTTTCCTTGCTCTGCTGGATCTCTTCAGCAGGTATCGAAGCTAGAGAGGTACTTTTAGAAGCCACGTCTGGTACTGGAGTTGTATTACACTTGTGAGCATCCTCTGTATCAACACCTTGCTTGTTTGAAGACCAGGAATTAGAATCCTTAAGGTGGCCAAAGGTGTCAAGATTTGTAACAGTAACAGATGGTAAATTCAAGGGATAATGCCCAGTCACTGAGTATTCATTGTTTTCAGCCTTCTCGGAAATGATGGCACTGGGAGAATCAGTGTTCTCAAATACTGCACTCAGTTGACTCACAGTTGGGGAGACAGCCTCAGTCCGGGAGCTAAGGCTGTCCAAGGAATCAGTACTGCCTCTGTTGGACTTGGAACCTCCCCATTCATCCTGAGGTTCACTCCCTCCAGCTTTCTCCTTCTTTGGGGAATAGCGGTTGTTCTGTCCTGATTCATGCACACTTCTCTCAAACATCTTCCGAGTCTCAGTGAACTTGGAATACGAAGGGCCATCGTACATTGTGTCAAATCTACTAATTCGTTCAGAAACAGAGGACTCCAACTTAACAACTGAGCCATCTGTTTTCTCCAGAAATTCTTTGGGCTTCATTCTTCTCTGAGGAGATGAATGTCCACCTTTCCCCCTTGTTTTGGCAATGACAGCAGCATTCTCGTTGGGTTCCATACCCATCTGCATAAATAGGTTTTTAATTCTGTTGACATTAGAGCCATATTTCCTCCCCCTGCTCTGCTGGGAGCCCTCACCTTCTTTTGTTTTTTGTTCTCCATCTGACTTGGGTTTGTCAAAGGTACTTTTCAGTGCCTGGAACTCAGTTCGATATGCATTCCTGTGAGGAGAGGCACTTCTGAGAGTGGTTCGTTCACCCGAAGACTCAGTTTTCAACATTTTCACTTCAGGGGTGAAAAGCCAATGTTCATAATGATCAAAGAAAAAAAAAAAAACAAAAACCAAGACACCTCTCTTCTTTAATCACCAGTATTGGGTCAAAAAAAGTACCTCTCAAACGGTATACTGTGTCAGTGATCGTTCCAACAGGTGTATTAGGAACTTAGTCACAGTCAAGAGTTACACAAAATGTTTTTTTTTTTTTTTTCAAAGCAAAACTAGGGGTTCATCTGCAATAGAAAAGAATGAATTTCTGAATTCATTTACTTATTTGAATTTATGTCTAGTCAAGTAATATATAATTTATTTTCCAAACGGCTTAGCCACGTGTCAAACAGAAGAGATTACTCATCGAAACAGGAAGTTAAAAGTCAAAAAATTATCATTCTGATTGGTCTTTGGTAAAAAATGTTTCAAACACAATTTGGAGATCCCTATCAAAATCTCTCTCTCTCTCTCTCTCTCTCTCTCTCTCTCTCACACACACACACACACACACACACACACGTTACACGTAAGCATATCTGAAAGCAATACTTTAAACCCAAGTTTTGGTCGCTTTTGTGAATACCCTTAAAAGAAACCAGCAGTTCATCAATCTTTAAGAAATCATCAAACTGTCCAGAAAATCAACTTCACTTAGGATTGTCCACAATCAAATAGAACATATTCTTTCTAAGTACAATTAAGTTTGGAATCTATGTTTACAAACTCTAAAACATGCCTACAGAGACTTATTTCACTTTTTCTGCTCCAATATTCTCATTTACAGCATCTCCAAATCAATACTAATGCAATTTCAGACCAAAACAAGGAGAAAAAAAGTTCCTGAATGGCAATAAGTTTCACTCTAAGTTCAGTTATAACAAGTATTTGGAAGTTTCCTAACAGTGGTTATTAATTATGGAGTGGGATGCAGACTACCATGGGAATAAATGCATAAGAATGTGACAATCAGAAAGCAAATATACTGTGACACCTCTTTCCACAGCTTTGATTTATTCTTTCTTGCCTCTAACTTAACTACAGTTCAAAACGCAATGCATGTTTGCTTGTCTCCTTTAGCCCACAGCAGGATTTTATATCAATCAGCGAGCAATCAAATATCTCAAGATACGCTGCGGAGCAGACAATCTAAAGATTTTTCATTTTGGTTTGGTTTTGTTTTGATATTAGGCCGAGCCACATCACCCTCACGCACAATCAGCTGAGGAGGCACACACTTTCACTTAAACCGTCTCCAAACTCGGCTCCTGGCCCAGCACGCATGCATGGCCCATGCAGACAAACAAGAAAGGCTTTGGAGTGTGGTGCCTGTCTTTTCTCTTTTTTTTAAAGCATCGACAATCTCCTTTTACCCTGACCATTCTTTTCAAAGCCACAAACACCCTCCCCTCTCCCCAACACACACACCCCATTCCCTCCCCCGCCAATTCCAACCCAAGGAGGCGGGGGCGGGGGCGATGGAGCCGCCGGGGGATTCAAAACCTGCCCTCACAAAAGACAAACATAAATAACACCAACTTGAGAGGCAGCCGATTCCCAAGCCTGGTTCGGGACGCAATCCCTCGGCCCTGGGGCAGGACCGGGAGAGCAGGTGACGCCAAGCGCTATGGTAGGAGGTCGCAGTCTAGCTTTGTGCCAAGAAGCACCTGAAGTCCTAACACATTGGCTGCGGCTCCCCGCGGCTGCCAGGCGGATCCCTGTGTGGCTGGGAGAGAGACGAGCTCCCTGGCCACATAAAAGAAAAAAAAAAAAAAAAAAAAAAAAACGAAAGAAATTACAGGGTAACGATAATAAATCCCTCTGTTTTTCCTCCCAATGTGCCAGGAAACAATAGATCCCACTGATAATGCCTCCAATCTTCAACCTATTGCTCCTCCACCACAACCCACCCCCACCCCCAGCCTGCAACTCAGCCTTTGTACAAGCCGGTTTTTTCCTCCTCTCCACCCTCCCAACTCCTCGCCCCGCGCACAGCCTCCCCCTTACCCGAGCGGGTGCGCCGCGGGCGGGGAGGGTCGGGCCGCCGCGGCTCCCACCCCCTCCTCGCAGGCGCCCCCCGCCCCACGGTGGCCGCGGCGGCTCGGCTCGGCGCCGGCCCGCTGGGTGCCCCGCCACCCGCTCCTCACGGCGCAGCGCGCAGGGCTGCTGCGGCGGCCGCTTCCACTCGCGCCTCGGCCCCCACTCGCTGCCTTCCCGCGGCGGGCGGCCCCGGGAGGCAAGCTGCGCTCCCCAACGCCATTGCGGGCGGGCGGCGACCCGGGCAGCTACGCGCGCGCACGCTCGGGCCGGCCTGGGGCCAGGGGTGCCGGCCGGGAAAGGGATTTGGGCCACGTGCGGTCGCCACGCCGCGCCGTTTGGGCGGCTGGGGAGGCTGCGGTGTAATGGAGGAGAGACCGCGGGGATGAGGAAGGCCGGGGGTAACAGGTGCCTCACCTCGGCTGATGGGATTAACTCTAGGGCCGCAGAGAGAGGGAGCCCGGCAGCAAAATCCCGGGAGAGGGAGAGAGAGGGAGCCTCTGGCGGCCAAGTAAGGACGAAAAGCACGGGCCCGAGGCGAGGCCGCCCCACCCCCTCGGCCGTGGGCGAGGGGCCTCCTCTCCGGCCCGGGGACAAGGCCGGCTTCCGGTTCGGGTATTGGCTCCGGAACTGGGTTCTGAGAACAGCTGCCAGGGTCCTCACTTCGTCTGCAGTGAACTCCGTTAACTGGAAGTCCAAGACAGAGGCCCAAGTCTAGAGTGGCCTTCGCCTAAGCCACTGCGCCTGGCCTACTACTCACCTTGACCTTAAGGTCCCACTGCCAAAGAGAAAGGGATGAGGAGGTCTTCTGCCTTTTCTGTCTAGGGAGAGTTTTTCAGCCCACGCCCCCCCCCCACCGCCCTTTTCTAAACGCTCAGTACACCCTCTTCCACCCCCAAATACCGGAAGTGTTACCACCTTCCTGCAAAATATAAAACTGATCATGACTGTCAATACAGATCTTTAAACCACTCCTTCCAAAAAGCCTAAGGAGCAGGAACTCTTAAAGAAAAAAATTTCAAGAAAGTAAAAACATGTCAATGGTAGAAATATAAGATGAACATGGGTCAAAATTTTTATAGCTCTTAATTAGAAAGGGAGCCCCAGCAAGATACTACAACCCATTCATGTGAGACTGTGAAGACATATAGACAAGAAGCAAAGCTGCTTAATCTATAGAGCACTGAAATGTTTATTATTATCTGCTTTACAGGGCTGTAACCAGTTGTATCTCTAAAGTAACAAAATAAATTTGCATTCTGTAGATAATACTCATTTACACATTGCCAAACGTTTCTACAGCTTACTGAGTAGTAAAATAGCCTAGTGAAAGTCAATCTAAGGTACAGACTACCGTAAATTCACAACACTCTGGAGCCCTGTGGATAAGATCCAGCATTCCATTGAAAGGACAAACAGTAATCTTTTGCTCATTTCAATGTCTTTCGCAAGTTTTCCCAACAGAACTATTTTTAGTCCCATTTCACTGACGGAAAAACTAAGGTTTAAGTTTTGTAACTTACCCGCTTCTCTATTAGCTATTAATAGTGAATGATTATGGCTGCATATGAACCTAGGCAAGTCCGTACACAGATTCTATATACTCTGGTAGCAAAATCTTTTCATTTCAAAAGGATTTTGTAGCTACTCAATACTCAATTCTATGTATTTTTTTAATTTTAAACAGTGAGGGCTTATTTTTTTCTTTAAGCGTCACGAAATTCTGGGTCCTTTCCCAAGAAATTGGCATTCTCTGTCTGTGAAGTGGATGTCACTTCTATAAGCATAAACAGATGTAACAGGCAATGTGAGGGGGTTGTGGTTCCAGACTCCACTTTTGGAAAGAACATTTGTGCTGTCTGGGATAATCTAGTGGAAAAGTTCCTGTCATTTATTTGCAGTATAGAAACCAGGTTTTTTAGGCAAATAACCTAAATAAATGCAGAATCTAATCACTGAGTTCTGTCTGTAGAAGAGGGGGCAGAGTTGGCAATAAAATCAGTCTTACACCTCTTTGCAAAAAGATGATTCATACAGAAAAGCAGCCTAAAGGATTTGGTTGGTTTGGGTTTTATCTTTTGAAAATTTGAAAGTTCTGGAAAAATTCATAGTGAAGGAATGATAGAGTTTTAAACACAATGGTGAGAATTTAAGATTCCTAGATCAAGATCCACTTGAATGTTTGAAGGGTCTATTAGACCCGTGCTAATCCAATACATGCAGCTACTTAAATTAATTAAAATTAAATACAGGCCGGGCGTGGTGGCTCACTCCTGTAATCCCAGCACTTTGGGAGGCCGAGGCGGGCGGATCACGAGGTCAAGAGATCGAGACCATCCTGGGCAACATGGTGAAACCCAGTCTCTACTAAAAATACAAAAAAATTAGCTGGGCATGGTGGCGCGCGCCTGTAGTCCCAGCTACTCGGGAGGCTGAGGCAGGAGAATTGCTTGAACCCGGGAGGCAGAGGTTGCAGTGAGCCGAGGTCGCGCCACTGCACTCCAGCCTAGCACCTGGTGACAGAGTGAAACTCTGTCTCAAAAAAAAAAAAAAAAAAAATTAAATACAATTTAAAATTCAGTTCCTTGGTCACACAAGCCACATTTGAAAGACTTGATGGCTACATGTGGCTAGTGGCTACTCTGTTGGACAGTGTAGATACACATTTCCATCACTGAAATTTCTATCCCACAGTATTGTTCTAGACAACATTTGCACTTCTATGAACTTTATAGGGTTAACTTAGTTTAATAGATCATTAATGTATTAGAGATTAGAGGTCATAAATTTTATATGTTCCAGCTGGAAAGGTGGTTAAAAAGTGTGAAAAGTGAACTTCATTACTGGCATGCAAAGAATCCAAAATGTGTTTGGGGTGGGGGAGTTCTCAATTTTCATATATGATACCTTAACCTTTCATAATTCACATAGAATATAACGGACTGTTATTTTCATACCCTTTGCATCCAATAATATCATGATTGGTAAGACCACAAGGTTGGAGGATAAGAAGCACAGAATATATTCTACATTATTTTAAGGGTTTTCTCAATGTATTATTTAAGTTTTCGTGATGGACATTCTAAGCAACTATTCAAAGAATTAAGTTATTCATGTGTGTACATGAACCATTGGGTACAGCTGTGAAATTAAGCTAAACTAAGACTGAATCAAATTTTAAGACTAGGGAAAACTGACCAAGCTGGTA